TTTTTTCTCTTTTTCTTTCTTTCTTTCTTTCTTTTTTTTCTTTCTTTTTTCTTTTTCTTTTTTCTTTCTTTCTCTCCTTTTCTTTCTTTCTCTTTTTCTTTCCCTCTTTGTTTTTTCTTTTCTCTTTCTTTCTCTCTTTCTATCTCTATCTCTCTTTTTCTTTCTTTCACACTGTCTTTCTTTCTCTCTTTCTCTCCCTCTTTCTCTCTTTCTTTCTCTTTTTTTTCTTTCTATATTTCTCCCTTTCTCTTTCTCTTTTTCCCTCTTTCTTTCTGTCTCCTCTCTTTCTCTCTATCATTCTCTCTTTCTCTATCTCTCTTTTTTCTCTTTCTTTCTTTCTCTCCCTTTCTTTCTCTCTATTTCTCTCTCTATTTCTCTTTCTTTCTCTTTTTCTCTCTCTCTATTTCTTTCTTTCTCTATCTTTTTCTTTCTTTCTCTTTTTCTTTCTCTTTTTTCTTTCTCTCTTTTCTTTCTTTCTCTATTTCTCTTTCTTTCTCTATCTTTTTCTTTCTCCTTTCTCTTTTTTCTCTTTTTCTTTCTCTTTTTTCTTTCTTTCTCTCTCTTTCACTTTCTTTGTCTTTCTCTTTCCCTTTTTCTCTTTCTTTCTCTTACTTTCTCTTTCCTTCTTTCTTTCTCTTTCTGTTTCCTTCTTTCTCGCTTTCTTTCTTTCTATTTCTCTCTCTATTTCTCTCCCTTTCTTTTTCTCTTTCTCTCTTTCTCCTCTTTCTCTCTTTCTCTTTCTTTTTTTCTCTTTCTCTCTTACTTTTTCTTTCTTTCTCCCTTTCTTTTTCTTTTTCTTTCTCTCTTTCTTTTTCTCTTTCTTTCTTTCCTTCTTTCTCTCTTTTTCTCTTTCCTTTTCTTTCATCTTTTTCTTTTTTCTATTTTTCTTTCTTTCATTCTTTCTCTATTTCTTTCTCTATTTTTCTTTCTTTCTCTTTTTCTTTCTATTTTTTTCTCTTTCTATTTCTCTTTCTTTCTCTCTTCCTTTCTCTCTTTCTCCTTTCTGTTTCTTTTTCTTTCTATTTCTTTCTTTCTTTCTCTCTGAGTTTCTCTATCTCTATTTCTATCTCTTTCTTTCTTTTTCTTTTCTTCTTTCTCTCTTTCTCTTTCTTTCTCTTACTTTTTCTTTCTTTCTTTCTCTTTCTTTTCTTTCTTTCTCTCTCTCTTTCTCTCTCTCTATTTCTCTCTCTTTCTTTCTTTCTCTCTCTCTTTCTTTCTCTCTCTTTCTCTTTCTTTCTTTAATGGAGAAGCCAGATTCACTTAACAACAATTAATAACTGTAGTGATTCATTTAATAACTGTGACAAGAAAGGTTGTAAAAGAAGGCAAAATTCACTTATTTATTTATTTATTTATTTATATTTAAACTTCTATGCCGCCCTTCTCCCCAGAGGGACTCAGGGCGGCTCACAGCATGTTAAAAAACAACACAAAAAACATTTCCCCTATAAAACCAATTAAAAAGCAAATATATTAATAGCTGTGTCATATTTAAAATCTTTGAAAATTTTTAAAAATTATTCCCTATTTAAAAT